TAAAAATTCTTATGTGCTCCTTTTCAAAATTTAAAGACACTCAGTTGTCTTTGTACTTAGTAAATAAAGCAAGTTCTCGCTTTATCACCTTGGCACATATTCTTTTCTTATGTCTTCGATAATGTTTCTTCTATCTATCAAAGTTGTCCGTCTTCAATGCAAACATGCAATTGAAAATTAAAATCAACAATCGAACAGCGATGAACAGTGATAAATCAACGAATAGCTCACGAGAATAGTTCAGTAAGGAAGACAATGGTGATTAAAAAAGTACTTATTTCTTTATTTTAAAGGAACATTTAAGGAAATCTAGGGAAACCTTAATTTAAATTCTACAGCATTATTTTACAATATCACTTCTCATTTTCTTGTATCGATCATTCATTTTCAAAAATACTTTCGAGCTTGTACAATTAGATAAAAAATCGCACACTTCGACAATTACGCGTGATTCACATTTTAATGCTTCGAAACGTTCAACATGAACGCTTATCGTGGTTGAGAGGTCACGTTGATTCTATTGTGCATTCCAACGTCCAACGTTTATCTGCGAAATAGATTTATTCATAGATCAAATAAGTACATCCGGAACGCTATCGCGTAATAAACTTATTTACGAGACATAAAAGTTGAATAAAAGTAAAAAAATATAATGTTGTATAAAAAACAGATTAGATAACCACCGAAGCCGGGGAATTCGAAAGAAAATCAATGTTGAACCGACGCATTGATCCGATTAAAATATTTTAATCGCAGCAATACAGCCAGAGCTGATTAACTACAATTAACAAAGTGCTACAATATTATTGTTTTACGTTTAGATTATATCTTAGATCCTAAAAAAAGATTAACAATGATTTGAGCTTTTCAATGAGATATCTACAATAATATAAATATAATCGATTTTTACAACATTTTATCTTTACGATTTTCATTGATAATGAAAACGATCGCAAAAACATTAAGTTGTTAAACTGACAGCCTTAAATATATGCATATATTACAAAATTTTTTATTTTAACAATTCAATTTTTTGTTTCTTTGTATTTCTTTAAAGAGTTTAGAGCTTTAAAGTGTCACTTTAGATCTTCTATCATTTACGTTAAAATTCCGGATAGAATTAGAGTAACATTAAAATTCTGTTTATAATTTATTATGTAATACAAAAAATGTTGAAGAATTGAGATACGCGACACATAAAATATTAAAACGCATCGCGTAAAATTAAAAAAAAAAATTCTATCCTGGAATCTTACACAAAGTTATGGAAGTAAGGTGAGTTAACTGTACAAATTTCGTGAAACTGGAAAAATTTGATCGTCGCAATAAATATTGATTGCCTTACATTCTCTCTCTCTATCGAGAAAATAAAATAATACTCAACCATATAAGTATAAACAAAAACTGCACGCGACTGAAATATTTCCATATTCGCCTATTGACAGACAACCCGGCATACGTGCAGCTTCCAATGTGAAATGAACGGTGATGTGCACGCGTGCACATATTCTTTTATCTCCTATTGCAAATATCGCGTAATCCAAGTACTTCATTTATTTACACATGATTGTTTATCCAGGGCTGCGTTCGGAAAATACGCTCTTAACGTTTTATTTTACCTCTGATAAATGATAATGACAGAGTCAGACGAGAGAGAGAGAGAGAGAGGGGCACAACAGCGTCGATAGCAAATTATTTTAGAATTTGATATGTCCATATCGGCATTATGCTTTTATCACACTACGCATTGGAAAGATCAAGGATTGCGAATTAAAGATTAGAATTCGACCAAGGTAATTTTAATTTTAAACCGTTTTGTTCTAATTGGCTGAATTCTAATCCCCAATTCGTGCAATGAGTAATTTGTTCTAATTTGCAATCCTCACAGTCTTCAATGCGTAGTGTAATAGGGGCATTACGCGAAATGTTCACACAAATTTCGAAAGTCTTAAGCCCGTGTCACACTACACATTGGAGACTGAGATTTGCAAATTAGAAATTAGAATCTGACGAGTCAGATAATTTTAATTTCAATCGATTTTGTTTGGATTGGTTGAATAATCTTTAATTCTCAATCCTCAATCTCCAATGCGTAATGTGACACGAGCGTTACATTTAATACATACGTATATATGCTTAATACATTTACAAATCCAAGTCACATATTTGGAATCATTATTTAAAACTCGCGAGTATATATCGGTCATTTTGAGTATAGAAATTGAAGCAACAAAAAATCAACGAAAGAGATAATGTTTTTTTCAAATAGAAGATGAAAAGAATGATTTTGCTCAAGTATCCAAAAATTCTAGTAGAAATTTATTGGAAATATATTGATTAAATTTTGAGGATATATTGAGTCAATATTGAGCTAATATCTGGATTTAGCTGGATATAGACCTGAAAATAATTTTGTTGGACCATCAAAATGATTACGTAGGAAATTGATTGCTAGCGTATCAAAAGTCTAAATTATTATGGTTTCCTACGTAATTATTTCTTGTAAAAACTTAGTAATTATAATCTATCAAAATTATTTTCAGATCTGTATCTAGCTAACCTTTTTTAGATACTTCAGCAAAATCGTTCTTTCCATATAGAATTATATTTTTGTAACTATATAGGAAGGGCAGTTTTGCTGAAGTAGATATTTAAAAAATTAATTAGATATATTATAGACCTGAAAATAATTTTGCTTTGAATTATCAAAATAATTATGTAGAAATCGTTACTAGAATGTCTTTTTGCAGCATTATTCGTCACTTGAGTGTTTTCTTACAACTATTTTTATGGTCCAACAAAAATTCTGTTCACATTTTCATCTACCTAAAGTTTTTAGATACTACAACAAAATTGTTCTTTTCGCATACATAATTTGAAGAAACGTTATCTCTTTGTGCTAGAAGTGTCACGACCAATGGAGAATGACGTCGAATCATTTTTTAGCAAGATCATTCTTTTCGCGTAGCTATTCCTCCCCTCTCTCTCTTATTTTTCGCTCGTGCGTCATCAATCTACCCGCAAAGATGTAAATACTTCCGCGTAGATTAAAACGCGCGCACCGCGTGCGCGACGCGTGCCAATTTTCCACATTTTGCCCGTGAGCCTGCCGATGACGACAATGATGAAGACAACGACGACGGCAACGACGGTGACACGCATTCGCAACGTGACGATAACATTTTTTTTTTTTTCAGATGTATTTATATCACAGCTTTCGGCTAAACGCGCTTAGCGTCGAAGCGCGAATAATTCACCATAAATCTTTTTCACCGGACTCAACCGCGAAAAAAACACTAATTGAATCCTCCGATAATCGCTCCAATTTCCACGTCACCATTTATACAGTACTCACTTAGAAAGAAAGGCATAATGTAATTTTTTTTTTACTTTACTTATCGATAATTCCAAGATCTTCGAAGCCCACGAAGAGTCGTTTTCACCCATATTGGAGTGTTAATCCTTAACTGATGAGGCTCTCACACGTCGTGATCTTACCGAAGCAATTTATCGCTATTTTACTTATCTAGATTCAATGGGAAGAGTGAAATATTATCTTATCTTATGTAAAGGACATCGATCAATCGGTAGAAATTTAGAAACACAGTTGTTTGCACGCCAAATGGAAAAGTACTTATGCATGGAAAACACAATTTTGCTAAAGTATTTGAAAATTTAGGTAGATAATAGATCTGAAAATAATTTTGTTGGATCATCAAAATAATTATGTAAAATAATTGTCAAAATTTTTTCCAACATTGCTCATTATATTTAAGTGTCCTAAATACTTTCTAAATTTTTTGGATTTTCACTCTAAAGAGTAAAAAAATTGAGCTAGTCTTGAAAAAGATTCAATTTCCAGTCTTTAAGAGTAAGAATTCACTCTTTAAAGAATTTTAGAGAATAATTATTTTGATGGTCGAACAAAATTATTTTCAGGACCATTTAGTAGACCATTTTTAGATACTTCAGCAAAATCGTTCTTTCCGTGATAAACTTGTTCGTGATAAACTTGCTTCATCAATTTTACCTCGAAAATGGTGCCTTTACGTGGAAACAAATATTTGGTTGAATTAATTGGAATTCTAGTGGAAAATGAATGATCAGAATTCTGGTCTACTAGATTTCTGGTTAAATCCTAGAATACTAGAATTCCAGCAGATTTAACCAAATATCTAATAGATTTAATCAGAATTCTGGATCGTTCGCCAAAATTCCAGTTGATTCATCGTTTTTTTTTTTTCCTTTAATTACAAATTAGAGATCCGATAACAATTCAGCCACGAGACAAATTTTAAATTGGCCCATCGATTTTATCAACTTCAATAAATTAGAATGAGTAAGATAGTGTTAGAATGAGATAGCATATTTAAAAAAGACAATATATACAGCCTCCTTTTTTACTCTTTTTATTTTAACAAAAAATTGCTCGTCAAATTGTTCATCAAATTCTATTATAGTCTCTATTACAAATTAAATTGTTCGCTGCGAAACAAATCATCCACCAAAAAATTTTGACATAACGCAGACGTCGTGCACGAGAGGAAGCGGCTCATTCGCAAGATGACGAACGCGACCATGATCGATTCGCAGTGTATCAATGATCGATCATGCATTCAGGAGCGCGATTTCGAAAATTCGTCACATGGTCGCGGCCGAAATCGTCGCCGTCAAAGATCCGGTCTCGAAGTAGCAGAGAATATCGCAGATCGGAGCGGGCGGTCCCCGCGATATCTTGCGTTCTCGGAACGGGACGCGGGGTGTTACCCTGGTATGTTTACATGGCATCTGACGTGGTGGTGGTGGTGGCCACGGCATCTCGATCACGGAGAGCGTTGTTTGATCGCGCAATGACGGCGGCGGCGGTCGAGAGGGCGGCCGGTCGCGCGCGGGTGGTGGTTGAAAGGTCGCGGCCTCCGTCATTGATATGGTTACAGAGAGCGCACTTTGGACCAAACGGTCGTGCCGACTTAAGAGGAATAAAGCGCGTCGGCGTTAGTTGACTTCAGTCTAGTGTCATCCTGGCTGCGTAACGCGACGCATCGCGCAACCCGACCAACCCGCTCCCCACACTTGTCTTTTATAAATATTTTTTCCCCCCTCTACTTTTCGCTCTCTCTCTCTCTCTCTCTCTCTCTCTCTCTCTCTCTCTCTCTCTCTCTCTCTCTCTCCTTCCGCGATCTGTAAACCGGCGAGGAATAATGGACCGCCGGTGAATCATGGACCCTGGCCAAGAGCGACAGTAAACTGCAACCGCGAAAAGATTTTCGCGCACGAGATTAATTAGGCGAGGGATTCAGGCGTACCCGAGCCGATTTCTGATAGACGAAGAAAAAAAGAGGAAGAGAGAGAGAGAGAGAGAGAGAGAGAGAGAGGGAGAGAGAGAAAGAGACATCGAGAGAGAGAGACAATAAAAGAGCCGCATCTTCTTACCGAGTCGCGCTGAACGCACGTGACTCTTGACGTTTCGCGTTGGCAAGGACGACCACGGCCACCAAACGTTCCGCCACGCGCTTCCCACCTTCACGTTCCCGTGTGAGCCCGTCGCGATACTATACTGACACCACCATGTGGTCCATAGAACCGGGCAGCTTCACCTCCAACGGGAGCATGATCGTCGTGAGCAACAGGTTGCCATTTGTGCTTAAGAGGAACGAGATAACCGGTCAGCTGGAGCGCAAAGCCAGGTGAGTGTCACCTTCTTCTCCCAATTCTTCTCTGAATTCTTCGAAGTACAACCACGCTTTAAAAAAAAAAACATCGAGCCACTCTTTCTCAAGACTGGCTCAATTTTCAATCTTTAAGGATTTCACTCTTCAGAGTGAAATTTATTCTAAAAGTTTTAGAGAGAGTCCGAGTGTGATCGAAGTCTGTGATTGAATTGACCGATTCGAAGGAAAGAATTTTACTAATCGGTCAGTTAAAGGATGCTTCAAAGCATTTGTAGCATTGTTGACTGTATTATCTTTCTAGCGAATGAACAAAAACGGAGATATGCGTGAGATCAAAGACACAGAGTACGGATTATGTAAAATTGAGCGACAAAAATAAGAAGAATAGGACACGGAGACAGCTAGTCTCTTTCCATTCGGCGGTGTAACGAGAGAGAAATTGACCGTCTTCCTCTCTTACTTTTTGTTAATCATATTTGCTATAATCTTGACAAATGGCGCAGTTCGTGCTCTATGAATTTATGTCTTTGCGCGAGACCACGTGCAAATCGAATGACAGTCGCGAGAAGAGAGAGGACTTCGCTGTCACTCCGTATTCAACGTTTGTCGCGAGTGTTTGCGCCTTGAACGGCGTGATTATATGACTTATGCGGTCGCATAAGTCAGTTCTTTAAAAAAAAAAATCTCATTTCTTACACTTTAATTGACTCTTAATACACACGAGTGGGTCGTTCGTGACATTCTGACGTTCTATACACATTTCTTTTCTACTAAAACTAGGAATAGTTTATTAAATAATTAGTTATAATATTTATAGAAAATTTTGTAAATGCACAATCTTATGAATACACAATCTTATGAATACTTTCTATATAAAGATATTAAGTTAAAATACACGTAAGAATTATTTAATAATTTTTGTATATTTATTAAAGTGATTAACCCAGGATGACTCATGTGTAAAGAATCGGAGAATTATTATGTGTACTAATACAATCAATTAATACATAAATGATTGAAACTTCGCGATATCGTTTATGCAAATTATTAGTACTCGCTATTTTAAACTACGAAGTTCTGTTTTGCATGTCTATTTTTATACACTGAGACAATACGTATATCTCACTCATTTGCGTGTATATATATATATATATCGCATTTTCTTTTACGATAACCAGATGGACTGTACTATTATTGTAGATATTACTCGAGCGATTCTTTTTTAAGATCGTAGTGTCATTTACAACATTCAAACGTCGACATTCACGTCACTTACATCTCGTTTTTTTATATATTTAACTGAAAACCCGTGGCTTGAGATAACGAATACGACAAATTACTTGCGATTATGTGTCGTCTTTGGAGTTACATCATTCGCTACTGTCGTTATCTTTACATAAGATACAGTCAAACTACATTAGGATATTTCTATAGCATAACAATGATTTGTATCTTACGGTATACACCGACTTGTTCTCTCGTCTAGATTACATTTAACCCTTTCTAAGTAAAAATACGTAACGCGATTAACAAGATGGAGTTTATTAAAAGAGTTTAATGCCCGTTTCCACTAATTTTAATCTTGATTTGACTTACTCTTTTTCTTTTTCCAATTCGAAAAATTAATCTACATTAGAGAAAACGGGCCGTAACAAGAAATTTTTTTAATATTTTGAATCAGTTTGATCTTGAAATTTAATATTTTTTTTTCATGCAGAGCGAATTATTGTGGAAAAATGTATAATTATGAAAATACCGTATTTACAATTACCTAAAATAAGATCATTCTCTTAGTAACGCGTGGAAAATTATAAGAGGAACGTTTCTGAGTGCACGTTTCACCTCGAATGAGGCAGAAGGAAAGATACATGGCAAACGTGCATATGTCATAAACAAAAAGAGCGATTATTTCAATAAAAGGCGCGCCGTATCAGAAAATAAACGGCGAATATATATAGATAGTCAATAGACACAGCACATCGGTGATGTAATAAGAGCGACAAAATGCGAATAACAAAGTTCAACTTAAAATTTTCGTATTTGGAGAGTGATAGTCTTTCCATCGCGACTTCCTATTTGGCAAATACGTTGACGATTTGATCTTGTAACGCGATATTGTTTACATTGCTGTATTCGTGACATGCGCCAGCGATCGAGAGAATTCGATGCGTACTGCAAAATCTGACCGATTGACCGAAGAACGATTGATAATACCAAGCGATTAATTGAATTCTGGCCGTATCATTATCAGTGAAGAAGACGTCCAAATAAGAAAAGAAGATTAATTGAATTGATAAAAGAGATCGGCTTTGCAAGCGAATGCTCGAGGCATGCACGAAGCGTTTTTTCTTAATCACATTCAAAATAACTTTTTTTGATAGGCGTAATCTAATCGCGAGCATATAAATGGTAACTCTTACAAAATGTCACGCGAGATTTGTGTATTCCAAATCGGGGTAGATTAATGCGAATTCTTAAGGTGACCCTACATGGTCACTAATACTATCAGTAATGAATACCAACAATATTACTGATCGTGTATGGTTAATATTGATGAATTAATGTACACTGAAAGAGCAATTTTGCTGAAGAAGCTAAAAATTTAGTCAGATGTAGATTTGAAAATAAATTTTGCTGAACCATCAAATAATTTTGCAAGTATCTTAAGTATGATGAGTAATGCTGCAAAATGTTTTGATATTCTCTTCAACCAATCTGTGGTCGTCCTACCTAATTGTTTTGATGGTTCAGTAAAATTATTTTTTTAATCTAAATTTTTAGATTTGTCAATAAAATTGCGCTTTCGGTGTAGAGCACTGAGGATGATCTGGATCTTGATTCTCGAGCATCAGTAACTATTATGACATAGATCCTAATAAAGCGGTTTCGCTTTATTAGGATCTATGTCATAATATATTACAGTGTAATAAATACTGTAAACATTAATACGAAATTATAAAAGGCAATAACAAATTAAAATACAAGGTCTATTAAAATTATGAAATGCTCAAAAATTTACTTGCTTTCTCTTGAATGATCAGATTTTTCTCTTTTTTTATTGTAATATTTGATTGATTTAAATGAGGAAACTTAGAGGAAAATACCTAATTATAAAAGAAATATTTCGCGGTAACTTTTCCATTGCTTCTTTCGTTATAAGTACCGATTTTCTATATTATTAACCGTATAGGGTCACCTTTAGAATCATCTTAATTGGCGAATATCAGAGTTATTGTATATCCGTGTATTGTATCATTGCATAACAATTCGACAAAATGTGTCTTCATTTATCATTGTATCACAATTTTAATAATGTTATGACGATGCGAGACACACTATCTACATCGATGCGCATCGATAATATGATTCGTGGATACGCAATAAGTTTGTATCCGCCTTTTTACATTCACGATGTTTATGTCCCGAAATTGATGCAGCAGAGATAGAAAATTGCGGGATGAAGATACAAACTGTGCAAAGGAAAAATTGTTTTTCATAATCAACCTTTGATTTCTATTTTTCCTATTATATTCAATTAAATCATTTTTTTATCGCAGAAAGGTTTCTAATACTTCACTGCTAGATATCAAAGAAACAATGGTAACTTAATCTTTTGAGTTAATAACATTATTATTATTTTATTGTTTTTAACTTCTATATGCGTAAATCAATCCACTTCCCTGATTAGTTTCAAAGTAAACATCATCTATATTACATATGCATTTAGTAAATAATAAATTTTTAGTCAAATTTAATACATTTTCTTAAATTAAATTGTTAATTTAATTCAAGGAACAAGTAGTGACGACTTATAAAAATGATTAAAAAAGCTCTAATTGAATATAATTTAACATTATGAATTTAATAGTGTTTCGAATATCGTAAATATAATTTTCATTCCAGAAATAATATTTATCAAATTTAATTGGCAACCCACTTCTATTACGTTACAGTAATTTCTTATAAATCAATTTTTTTTATTTGAAAAAAAAAAATAATTTTTTGTATGCGACCTCAACTACCTCGCGAATGACCATCGATGTTATTTCCAATATAATATTTTTCAGGATGAGCACATAATTATGCTCGAGCAATCGATTTTTACGAAAACGGTATAATAAAGTGTTCTTGGCTAACGAATGGAAAGATGAATTAGGCTAACGAAAAGGTAAATTAGGCTACGTGAATCGCTTGTATCAATCGTATACACGAGACGTCGGATGAGCACAATTACCACAATTAATTTCTCAAAACGGCCGATATACGGACGCTATATGTCACCTGCATCATAATTGTCGCACGTGTCTATCGCGTGTTTGCCGGTCGCATCCGCATGTTTCATGCTCTTAAACTGCCCACGCGAGATGGGTATCACAGCTCACGATCGAGCTATGTATTCTCGTACTCACACCGGATCATGGAAAAACACTGACGCGAATGCAGTGGTTTCTAATTATCATCCTGAAGTGATAATACGAACCGGTCCCATGTCAATTTTTGACATGGGACGTATCAATGCGCTTGATTACGTCGAATCTGTTTGTTGCACACGTATGTCGAATCGTTCGATTCAGTTCGTTTTTCTGTAAACTTATCCTTTTTTTTTTCGCTACATCGTCGTATATTGTTGCGCCAAATCAATACAATGTTGCTAAAATGTTAAAATTTTTTGCGATAATGCTTATCATACTTGAAACTCTTACGTAATTATATATTGATAATAAAACAAAATTACAGCAAAAAATTCTTTCGAACTAGATAAGGTTTCTTATAAACTTTTGGATACTGAAAATTATGCCGCAAATCAAATTTAATATGAGATTTTTGTAATATTTAAGATTCAAGGCTTTTTGCAATACCTGACATTTTTTTGTCAAAAATTATTGGCAATAGGTATCCTGAAATTTTGAACAGAAGTCATGAATATACTACTGTTCATCTTTTAAAATGTATTTTTTTTAAATCTCAATTTCTTTACTTTTCGACTATGATATAAAGAATTTAGAGATTACAGATTTTTGTGAGTAAAAAAAAAAAATATCGCAAAAAAAACATTTTTTAAACCTCAATATTTCAGAAATTTAACGTGCTGATAAAAATTTGGTTTGCAACCTTGTTTTTTCAGCATCTAAAAATCTATAAAAAGCATCTAATAATTAGAAAAAGAACATTTTTTAAATTATTTATTGTCAGATTTATATTTAACTAAATTTTTTACAGATATTTCAGGAAAATTGTTTTTTTCCGTGTACGTAAAGATCAATCAGGTGATTACAAGGCATAGCATAGTTCACGTGAGAATCTATACTGTCTCCTTTCATTCACGTATTCTTTGATCAATTTGACGTCAACTTTTTCATCGGAGAGGAAAACTAAATCGTGCGCGATGTTGACAAAGTTTGCTTGAAAGTATAGACACGCGTTGGTTAATTAGTGAATTGTATCGCGTACAAGAACAGCACGATATCCATGCAATGATCGAAGTTTACGCGTTTGCGTACTTTCGACAGTTTCAACGCATGTTAAGAACTCTTTTAGTTGCTTACGAGCAAGGCGAGCATAATCAATGATGCATTACATAAACAAGTTGGTCATTATACTCAATGTCGCGCTTGAAACGTGTCCGCTAAATGTATAATTAATTACGACAATCGCGTCTCGACAAAACGGCGATGATCAATTAATACGGTATATTACAATCACGTACGCTCTCTCTAATATACTTTTACACGCGAGAAATGTGTTTCTTTCATTTACGATTAAAATACAAGCGAAATTAAGCCATAATGACGAGAATACAAGCATACATTCTTTCTCACAAGATTCTTTTTCGCTGTCTTGAAGTATTTACATTCGGAATAAAATTGTTTTAAGATAATAACACTTCTCGTTAAAGAATCGAGACACGTTCACGATAGTGATCTCAGACCGATATTCATAGTCGGTTCTTATTTTAAAACCGTCTTAAGTAATATTTTAGATGCTAATACTTATATTTATAATAAATCAAAGATTTCATCTTAGAGTAAGATCGTCTTAAATATTTAAGATCTTAAATATATAAGAATATAAAACTATAAATATTGGCCTTAAACTTTGTTTCCTACAATTAGACGTTTACATTCTATTTTTCCTATTTTTTTTTTAATTCTACGATGATAACAAGTAATATTAAATTTTCTATTTTTATATTCTTTTTGTATATTTAATGTATGCATTGTAAATAATTAAAATGGAAAGCAGTTAATATGCTTAATGCGATTGTCAAATTGTTTTCCGTTTTATTAATGTCAACGATCAAATTAAAATATCAGATATAATTATTAGAACTCTGCGTCGTTTTAGAGCTCGCAGATAGGCATTACTGTTAATGTCTTAATCGAAATTTTTGTAACGTTTTTCAAAATATCACATTAATACAGCTGAATTTTTTTTATAAGAGATAAAGAAAGAGCTATTTTTTTATATAAATAATTTTATAACAAAATATTTAATTTTTTAAAATTATAGTAATTTTTTTAAATTATATTTCTTTTTTTTTTTTAGAATTATAATAACAATTTATTGAAATAAAATGTGAGACTATCCTACGTAATTTTCTCTCTAATTCTAATTCTACCATAAAATTTTATAAAAAAATTATTTTAAAGGAAAATTTATTCTTTTAAATCTGAAGCTCTTACTTTTTACTGCTGTTTATTTTTGCTCATCTTTTCGTGAATTTCTCTTTCTTTTGCAGCGCCGGTGGTCTGGTAACTGCGGTGGCGCCTGTTGTTATAAACGGAAATGGAGTGTGGGTCGGATGGCCGGGTATGCATATGGAAAACCCGAATGAGCCAATTCCCGAATCAGATCCCAACGATCGCACGCCAACGGCTGGTCTATTATCGCGTAAGGTGAGTCACTGTTAACGACGATTAATCGCAACGTGTTGATATTTTGTTACGACCGCAATTTGCGGTGCTTTACGTAACCATGATTTTGTAGTCGTAATGGTTTTTTACGATTGTTCATACATAGAAAAAAAAGAAAAAACAGTTATTTAATCCGCGTATTGTTAGAAATCACTTTGACTCTTTTGTGTGCAAATTTTTCGATACAACAGTCGGTTAAATCGCTGGACAATTATAGATTTATTATATTTACAATTGGTATTTTGCCATGAGAACGTTAGTTTTACGTTATAAATATGCTGATTGATTGTTGTGTCACAATGTGTGCAGACAATTGCGACTCACATATTTAAATCAAGCAATTTTTTCTCGCATTCCCTTAAAGTTTTGCGATGGTTTTGCCTCCTAAATTGACATTTTTTGAGATGGATATGCGTTTTCAAAAATTTTTAATTTATGCTAATTAAAAAATATTAATTAATTTCAAGGAATCAAAATAATATAACTCATGAAAAAAGAACCAATTATTTAAACGTTTTATTCTTTTTCTTTAAGTCTATCTGCAAATTTTTATTAAAAATAAAAAATTTGCAAGTACAACTTAAAGAAAATTGAATTATTTGATATTTTTTTACAAAAATTGACATTTTTGTAGTTGAGTGAGTCCAATAGACCCATCAATTTCGGAGAGTTAATATTCGAACTTATATAAAGGTTATTAATAATTTAAAAGTTGAAACTTACTCTTAAAACTTGGATCTTCGTTCTCGATCACCAAGTCGTAGCGGTACCTTTTTAAGGTCTTCAATCTTTTAAGGTATTTAAATATTAAGTAATAGAGGCACATTCACGAAGGTCTTCTGAGTATTTAGACGAGATCGAGGTCGAGAAAGATTTTCAGAACTCAGAACTTAGGTGGACCAAGTGGTACATCATCATTATCGCTATTTCAATTACGCGAAGTATACTATGCTTGGCATTGACAATATGTACCACCTCCGCGTGACGAAGAGAATAGTCACCGTTCCCCACCTCGATCAACCTGTAATATTCCATACGCCATCGAATGTTTCGAAATGATCAACTTTCACTGCAAGCAGCGTCGACAATAATATAACGAAAGCAAATTTCCTATCTTTCATTTGTAATAATTAGGACTATTCGATCGATATACTGTTAAATCTATATATATTTGTAAAAAATCATTATTTTAATATAAAAGAACTATATTGAGTAAGAGCAATAGCGACTTAAATTAGGTTGATACTGTAGATTTAACAGTTAATGCCACATAGAAGTACTTGATTGCGATTTTATGAAGTAACAGGTTTGCAAAGAGTTTGCGATTATATTGCATTATATCGACTATAGGAAAATTGTTTTTTACAATGTAGAAAAAAGTGGTAAAATAGATCGATTCTCGGAGATGCCTTTTGCCTTTCTCTCGACACTAGAAAATTCGGCGATAGTTCAAAGCAGCTTGTATACTCGTTTAGAAAGTAGACTTCTACAATATTTAGAAAAAAAAAAAAGACTTTTCAATGTCGCGTATTTCCCGATGGAAGCGACGCGACCGTGCCTTCTGAATAGCGATTATTTCTCTTTCACGTACTTACTACACGTAGAGCATAAAGCTTTTATAGTGATTAATGCACGCACTTCATATTACTAATCGTCGTAAACCGCTTTGTCGTTAGCTAGATTGAAACAACACGATAAAAACGGCGCGCTTTAACAGTTTTCATTGAAACATTTCTGATACGAATGGAGAAATGTTCGGTTGCCTGTTTTTCTTTGTAGGAAAAAAGTGATGTAGGAAACAAATGTGGAAATTTCTACGTTTGGAATACACCGTATATCCGGTACAACGATATCGATCACGTATTATGCATGTACGAGTACATTCCGTATTTATCTGCGCCGCGTGTGAACTTGAACTAACTGATTTTCGATTTTCAATTTAATAGTTCATCTCCAAGATGGAATTTGGATGAACGTGCATTTTCATGTATCACATAACAGTTAATATAAATATATAACATCAAGTGCGTTTAGCATTATTTATTATTATTATTATTATTGTTATTATTAGCATCATTATCTCTCGTTTTTCTTCTACCTTTTCTTTTTTTATTATCAATTACTTTTATTAATATTATTAGATGTATACAAAAGTCTTAGCGAATTTTTCTTTTTCTTCAACGTTCTGATATAATTTTTGTAAATTCAAATAATTTATCTCTCCTTATCGTATATTTGTAAGACTGACATCAAATTACCTGAAACGCCGTATTTTATAATTTAATGATGCACATAATTTTACAAAATAACAGTGAACACGATGAGCGACGAAGCTTTATATTTGACATTGCATATAATTTTCTCTGTTCTTAAAAGGGTACTGTATCTCACAATACATGCAAATGATCGTGTTACAAACTGCAGTAATTTTGAAGGCATGAAGATGCCTCGTGTGCATCTAATAAGATGTGAAAGGTGTGTTCCATTAAGATCCCTTGAATAGAATGAAACCGTTAATAGCCAAACGCTATTGTCGTCAGTTAAATGATTTGGCCGCAACAATAGAAGTAAAAGTACTAAAAAAAGTACAAAAACTTCTGCGCACACCTAATACAATTTCATGTGTGAATAAGTCGAAAATGGCTGGCACTGTCACGGATATTCGTGTCACGAGATCAATCGGGCTATCAACTGTATAACAGCGTTGCAAGCCTATCGTTTGTGAAATAATGATTTTTAGCTAGCTGTCGGTATGCTA